ATAGGGGGGGGGGGGCCCGCCGGCTCCGCAGCCCATCTGCTGGGTCCCCGCGGTGCCTCTGCCGCCCCGGGACCGGGCGGGGGGAAGGCTGCCCGGGGTGCCGGCCAGGGGAGGCGGCCCGGGGCAGGGCCCGGGGAGCGGCGGGAGGCGTAGGGCCCCCCGCCCCGGTCCCTTTGTCCCTGCGCTCCACCACCCGGGCCGGCTGTGGCGGGAGGTGGCAGATGGCCAGTGGTAGCGGCGGCCCCAGGACCCTTGGGAACCGCGCTGAGCATCGACACAAACCTACCCCTCCCCACCCCCACGAAAAATTAAAAAAAATAAAAAGAAAAAAAAGGGAAAAAAAAAGGTCCGTGGTTAGAGAAGGAGGGAGGGCGGTGGGATGTGGGTTGCGACCTCATATGCGGTTTAGGTATGCGGAAAAGGACAGGGGAGGTAGAGCCTGGGTGTCTGTCCGTCTGTCCCGGGGCACCCAGCCGTCTGTGGAGAGAGGAGACGGCATCGACACGCTTCAAAGAGGCGTCCTGCGAAACCTTAACCTCGGGGATAGATGGCTGGAAAGTCGTGTCCTCTGCCACCAGCCCCAGCCCCAGGAGGGGCCGGCCCCTCTATTTCTGCAGGTGCATTTCTAGCCGCCTTCCCGGGTCCCTCTCTTCTCACGCTCGATCCTTGCTTGTTTTGAAATCCAAAGGGCTCCCCTACCCCGCCACCTCTCCCTGCTCACTCACACAAGCCCTCAAGCTCCGCCCTCTCACATGAACTACAACATCCTCTCCTGGGTGCAAAGCTCTCCTATTGCTGGTAGGTCAGCCCTTATCCCATGCCACCTCCATGGCCTCTCTCTACTGCCAGCCCAAACCGAAGGGCTGCTCTATGCTCTCAGTGTTCCTATTTGTCCTGATTTACTGCGCAGGCACGGATGGATAAGGGCCCTCTGGAAAGGTTCAGTTTCTTAAACTCCGGGGGGGAGGGGAGGTGGGGTGGAGGACAGGAGCAACAACACTCCAGAGACATTTATGGCATTATATTGCACCAATTTTGGCTATGGTTACGGCTGTAAGCACATTTATTTCATTACTGTAAACCAGTTGTGATAAACACTGTATAAGGCAGAGAAAAAAGGCAGGCTGCTGGGACTGTTTACTAATAAAAGGGCTGTCATCTTTTCAGCGCTTTTTCACAACAGCCGGCCAAGACGAAAAAGAAAAATCCATATTTTACTATGAATAGATCTATTTTACCCGTAAATTCCGCCGAATCACAGCACCTCTCTTACTCTCTCCAGCAACCTGAAATCCTTTTTTTTTTTTTTCCCCTGCCTTTTTTCGTGCATTGTCTCTTTTGTTGCATTGTCTCTCCGGCGGGGCTTTGCTGCCCGTACTGTGCGTGAGGACACCACCATGAGAAGGGCCGGAGCAGAGGGGACATCACCCTCCCCTCCGCGCCCCTCCGCGGCTCCGCTCCGCGTTTCCTGCCCCGGGACTGGGGCCGAGGGGGGGATCCCAGCCCATTTCCGTGGGATTGTGCCCCCGCTGTGGCCCCAGGGCTCCCCGGGAGACTCGGAGGCGACTCCTGCTCCTGCTGAATCCCCTCCATCCCATTTATTTAAATTGAGTTTGCGAGAAGTTTTAAATGTTGTAGCGTGTTTTCCTTTTTTTTTTTTCCTTTTTTTTTTTTTTTTAAGCCTTGCCAACATCCAGGAATCTGAGCACAAAAGAAACCCGCACAAGCACGTTGCAGCCCAGTTTAGCCCAGTGGCAGAGGAGTTAAAATGCCGGTGGAGGCTGCTGGCTTTCCGCAGGGACAGGGCTGGAGCAGAGAGAAGGACCAGAAGCAGGGGCCGAGGTTTCGCCGCGGCCGCAGCTCAGCCAAGCTGTTGTTTTAAAAGAGCAATAAAAATGAATTATGACTAAACGCCTTCTCACTTAATGGTTTTAGACGGGGATCCCCAGCCCCGGCAAATACGTAAGAGGATTTTTATTTGTGCATGTGTTCCTGCAATTGATCTCTTTGATGACATTCTCATTCATAGAAAGAGGTTGATTTATGAGTTTCGGAAGGATTGCGTTCAGCCCTTCCAGCTATAACCCACGCATCCCGGCTCCACAACGTGTTGCAGGGCTGGGAGACAACACTCCCCTCGCACGGACGAGCAGCCCAGCCCCACAGACCCCCAGCTCCAGCCCCACTCCCCTCTGCCATGTCCCCACAAGCTGACACACACTCTCAGGCACCCACACGCACACGGGGAGCCCCGCTCGCACCCGCCGTGGGACCCCCCCCCCGCCCCACGGAGCGGCCGAGCCCCGCTGGCATCTGTTGCTGGGTTTTTTAGCCCAAAGGATGGGGCTCGCCCTCTGTTTTTGGGGTCCGGCGACACCGCTAGCCGGGTGGCCGGCAATTTGGTGGGGGACTTCGGAAAGCCCGTCTTTGCTGCCTCAATCAGGGGGTGGGGAGGCCCGAGGAAATCCTAACTTTAAAGTCAGGAGTTTCCTCTTTTCGTTATCAGCCCTTCGCCTCGCAAGAAGGTTTAAAAGCACAAAAAAAAATAAAAATTGAAATCTTCGGCTGTGCCCCCGCACCGCCCCTCAAAAGAACCGAGTGGAGGGGCTGATTCTTCTTCCCTGAATGCTCTTTCCCCCCCCTACCCCCGCGTTTGTGCCACCCTTTTGATTTTGCAGGCACTAACTTCTCCATTTCCTCTCCTTCCAGGGCTGATTTCTTGGACCGCTCAGCACGTGAGAAGTAAGCAAACCCACTTTCCCTGAGCTCTAATATATTTTTTAAGATACGCTTCCTGAAACAGCTTGCTGGCTGCTAAGCACTACTTTCTAGGGAAAAAAAAAAAAAAAAAAAAAAGGTGGTTTATTTCTCCAAAAAAAAGAGCCTTTCGTCTATGTATCAGGCTAGTTTCTGCAGGAGACGCTTATCCTACTGAGTCTCTCATGTTTTGCCTGTAAAAGAGAAAGTGCTCGTTCATGCTTTTGTTACAGCTCAGCATTTCCAAGCTTTCTATCCTCACGGAGATAAGATGCTACATTTGTACATTAAAAGGAAGAGATCTCCATCAAAGCTGTGAATGCTTTTAGTTTGCTCTGTTTGTGGTTTGTGTTGTTTGTGGTTTTTTTCTTGTTAAAACCCTTGCAATAAAGAATTTGAACGTGTTTTCCTCTCTAATAAATGTCCTAAATTGCCAAAAAGGGAGAGCTCATAGTCAGAATGTTTGATTTTGATTATTAGTAAATTAAGAGTAGAAGGAATGGGGAGAAATGCCCGTCATGTTATCAGTCTTGAAAAGAGGGAGAAAGAGAGGGAGAAAGAGAAAGAAAAAAGAGAAAGCTCCTTGTAGCAAACAAGAATTTATTCTACCAAAAATACTTATGACAACGCATCCTAATGCAATACAAAAATAAAAAGAAAGTGAAGATACAATTCCTATATGATCACTTTCTTACAGACCTCATATATTGCTTTCATAGAAGGACCTAGAATGTGGCTAGGTTAAAATTGAACACAACTAAAACTTCGTAAGAAACGGCAAAATGGCACAGCAGAGGGAGGTAATAAACAGAAAATACTGACCAGGGAAAGGGAGGGGGAAAAAAATAAAATTAATTCACGGGGGAAAAAAAATAAAGAAGAAGAATAAGGAGGAGAAAGCAGGACCCTTGGAGAGGACGTCTTTAATTTCTCAGTAATTCAGATGCTGCAAGTCAATTGTGGTGAGTGTGTCTGTAAAGAAGTCAAAACTGTCAGCAGAAATATCTACGGGACTGTCCAGAGATCCTGGCAAACTGGGAGAAACTGCATCTGAAAGCTGTAGGCAGGAATCTGTGGAGAAAACGTTAAAGTCCTGTAAAGAAGGGACATCTAGGGCCTCAGGACTGTCATTGTTCAGGCCAGCTGCACAGTTCTGGGCCATTGTTGAGAGGCAGTTTTGAACAGTGGGTGACTGGTGTTGAAAATGTTTCAGATTTTTCTCATTGCTCGTTAAAGGCGAAACGGGGAAAATTTGGGACTCGCCATTGTGCGCATTCTGCGCCTGCTGCTGGGAGAGGGCATTCTGCTGGAAAGCGTAGCCTTCCCGCTCCAAGAGAGCGCCGGAGACGTTGCTGAGGGCTTGCTCGAAGAGGGATTTCTCCTCCTCCTCCTCCTCCGCCGCTTTCTCGGGGTCCTCTAGGCTCTTAAATTTCCCCTCGCTGTTTTGGTTCTCCTTGCACTGGGTCTGTCTCTTGTGCTTCATCCTCCTGTTCTGGAACCAGACTTTGACTTGTCTCTCGGTCAGATCCAGCAAGGCTGCGATCTCAACCCTCCTTGGTCTACAGAGATACTTGTTGAAATGAAATTCTTTCTCTAGCTCCAAAAGCTGGGTGTTGGTGTAAGCCGTCCTCAGCCGCCTAGATCCACCGCTACCACTATCTAAAAAAAAAAAAAAAAAAAAAAAAAAAAAAAAAAAAAAAAAAAAAAAAAAAAAAAAAAAAAAGAAAAACACCCACCACCACACGCACCCCAAAGCACCACCGCCAGAAGAGCGAAAGCAAAAACACACGCACGCACACACAAAACAGATAAATGCACGGATTGAATTTCAGCCCCCGAGCACATCGCATCCCGGGGGTGGGGGGTAGGGGG